TTGGTTTGATAGAGCTCAATCATTTTGAAAAGCTGAATTTTTTTATGCAAGCTATTCAAGCAAGGACATTTTTAAAATTCACAAATACCAGATGAGTATATAATCCTATTGCATATCAAAAGATTTTTATAAACTAGTTATAAAACAATAATTCGAATCTTATTAAGCGATTTTGAAATGAATTAATTATAAAATTGCCCTATGTGAAACGTTGATTTGCAATAAAAAAAGCTCAAACGAACAAAAACTGTAGTCATTACAAAAAATCAAGCATGATAACAAAACAGTTACGTCTAAATTCCCATAATGGTTTTGTTTTAAGTTCATTTTTTAAGTTCAAATTTAGTCGTCGAGAAAGTATCGGCTCGGGAAAAATTGTTCTAAGTTTTTCTAAGCAAACTATTCAAGCTATGAAATTTTGAAATGTTTCGAAAAGTTTAAAGAAGTAAATCGGATGGAAAAACTTTAGGTTTTTTATGAAAGCTATTCGAATGATGATACATTGAAATATTTCAATCTGTTTCATATAGCGAATCAATTTGCGAAAAAAAAATAAATTCGAGAATTTTTTCCATGCAAGCTTTTACAGCAAGGAAAATTTGAAAAAGTTCACGTTGTTTTATAGAGCTAATCAGATCTTACTAGGCTATTCAAGCGATGAAACTTTGAAGTATTTCAACTTGCTTCACAGAGCGAACTGGTTCGCAAAAACTTCTAGTTTTGCATGGCGAGCTTTTTCAGTCATGAAATCTTTGAACATTTCCAAGTTGTTTCGTAGACTGAATCGATTTGCAAAAAATAATAATTTTTTTTTCTAAGCGAGCTTCTTAAGCTATGAAACCCAAGTTAGTTTGAAAAGCGATTCGGATGGTAAACTGATTCTCCGTTAAAGCAGTTCAAGCGGCGAAACTTTGAAATGTTTTTGGTTATTTCATAGACCGAATAAAATTGCAAAAAAATTGATTTTTTTCCATGCAAGCTACATCAGGCATTAAACATTAAAACATTTTCAAATTTGTCTTAGACTGATTTGGTTCGCAAAAAAATTAAGGTTTTCTAAGCAAGCTGTTAGAGCTATTCAACCGAAATATTTCAAGATAATTCAAAATTCGAATCAGTTCGCGAGGAGCTTAAATATTTCTATTTAAGCTATTAAAGCAAAGAAACTTTGTAAAAATTCCAGTTTTTTCATAGAGCAAATCAGTTCAAAAAAACTTAAAGTTTTACTATACAAGCTTTTTTAAGCCATGAAACATTTCCAAGTTATTGTATAGACTGATTTGGTTCGCGAAAAACCTAAGTTTTTTTATTAGAGCCATGAAAGTTCTTTCACGGGTTTTCAAAAAACAAATCGGTGTTCAAACTTTTTTTTGGAAACGACGCAAATTGGATGGCAAAAAGTTAGTTTTTTTTCAATCCTTTCAATCGACAAAAAGTTGAACAGTTTCAAATTAATTCATAGAACGAATCGATCCTCAAAAAATTATTTTTGGATCAAGACAACTCTTCTGAAACGGCTCGCGGAAAAATTAAAGTTTTTTTTAGCAAGCTGTTCAAGCTGTGAAACTCTAGAAAAAAAGTCGAGGTATTTCAAAAAGCGAGTCAGATGGTGAAAAACTATTATGTTGAGGATTTTCAAGCAATGAAACTGAAACAATTCAATTGGTTTGATAGAGCTTAATCATTTTGAAAAGCTGAATTTTTTTATGCAAGCTATTCAAGCAAGGACACTTTTAAGTTTTTTCATAGAGCAATCAGTCAGCAAAAAAGTGTCTTAAGCTATTCATGTTATGAAATGTTTCAACTTATTGTATGAAGGGAATCGAATCTATTTCAATTATGAAACTTTGAATTATTCCGAGTTGTTTTTTGGACATATCAGTTTGCAGGAAATTCAAGTTTCTCTAAGCAAGCTAACCAAGCCATGGAACTTGAAATATTTCGTTTTGTTTTTGAGATTGAATCGCTTCACGAAAAATCAATTTTCTATGCTATTCAATCGAAGAAACCCTTGAAATAATTCAGATCGTTGCATAGAGCGAATCAGTTCTCAAGTTTTACGAAAAAACAAAAAAAAAAAACAATTTTTATGAGCGAGCTAATCGAACAATGAACTTCAAAAAACTAAAACTGTTTCTTGGAACGATTCGTTTTACCAAAAGTTAAAATTTTCCAAAGCTGGCTATTCAAGCCATGAGACTTTGAAATTTTTAAAGCTATTTCAAAAAACGAGCTGGATAATCAAATTTCCGCAAATTGGATCGCGGAAAGTTCAGTTTTTCTCAGCAAACTTTTTAGGCTATAAATTTTAAAATAATTCGAGTCATAAACCGAATCGGTTTTTCTAAGCAAACTATTCAAACTATGAAAACTTGAAGTAATTCATGTTATTTCACAAAGTGAATCAGTTCGCAAAAAACTTCAAGTTTTCGATGCAAGCTTTCAAGTTTCGAAACTTTGAAATATATCAAGTAATTTTGTGGAATGAATCGATTCACGGAAAATTTTTTAAAAGTTTTTAAAGTTATGAAACTTTGAAACATTTCATATTATTTCATCGATTGAATCGGTTCGCGGAAGGCTTCTTTAAGAACATGGTGGTTGCTGTTCTTAATTGATTCGTTTCAGACTCAATTGAATTTGTAAACGAAAAATGTTCGACAAAATTTAGGCAGATACTGTCTAGCCTTGAAATTGGATCGAGTTCATCTTCCTTTGATGGTTGCTGTGAATGATTCCTAAACGTTGTGCTCGATATAGACGTTAAAACGTTGCGTTCATAGCGCGTTAAGACTTTCATTTAAAATATAAGGTAAAGTTGAGCATTATACTAGCAAGCCCGCCTCCAAAAATTAATTGGCTCGCAAAAAATTAGTTGTTGTTCTGATCAAGGTATCCAAGCAAAGAAACTTTGAATAATTTCAAGTTAAGCCATAGCGTAAATTGCTTTGAGAAATTTTAGTTAGGTTTAATAGAACGAATCGGTTCCCGAAAAATTGAAGTTTTTCTTGGCAAGCTATTCAAGCTATGAAACTTTGAAATATTTCAAAATGTTTCATGAAGCAAATCAGATGGCGCAACTTAAGGTTTCTATATTTGGAGATTTCGAAAATTCACGTTATTTCATAGAGCGAATCAGTGGGCAAAAAGTTTAAGTTTTAGGTATAAGGTTTCGACTTACCTGTAAGTTTTTTACATTTGGAGGTTTCGAAAATTCACGTTGTTTCTTAGAGCGAATCAGTTGGCAAAAAACTTTCATGGAATTAATTTTTTCTTAGTAAGCTATTCAATCTTGAAATAAAAGTTTTTCTATGTAAGCTTGTTGAAACATTTTCAACATTTTAAAATTATTTTCAGTTTATCGCATAGACTCATTTGGTCCACGAAATTTATAAGTTTTTCCAAGTAAACTTTTGAGCTATGACACTTTGAATTATTTCCAGTGATTTCACAGACTCAAACAAAATCGCAAAAAGTTCAACTTTTTCTGAGCAAGATGTTCAAGCTATGAAACCTTCAATAATAAAAATTAGTTCGAAAATTGAACCGGATGGCAAACTGTTATTCTGTTGAAGTCTTTCAAGTGATTTCCAGGTTTTTTCTTTGTTTTTTTTTGCGTGAGTTAATGGAGCAATGAGCTTAGAAAAGTTCAAGCTATTTCTTAGACCAAAATTAAAGTTAAAGTTTTCCAAAGCAAGCAATTTGAGCTATGAAACTTGGATTTAAATTAAGATATTTGATGAAACATATCGGTTCACACGAAACTTGTTTAAAGGTATGAAACCTTGGATTATTTCAAGATATCTCAAGTTTTCTAGAAAAGCTATTCAAGCTATGAAACTTTGTGAATTTTCTCAAGGTAATTCGTAGGCCAAATTGGTTCGCGAAAAGCTTAAGTTTTTCTAAGCAAGCTAATAGAGCTATGCAACTTTTAAATTTTTTCAAGTTATTTCATAAAGCGTTCATAAAGTGTTCGAATCAAGATAATCAAGCGACGAAATTTTTAATTATTTCAGGTTATTTTGTTTATTAAATCGGTTCGCGAAAAGTTGAATATTTTCTAAGCAAGTTTTCAAAGCTACGACGTTTTGAATTACTACTAGTCATTTCATAAACTGAATGGGTTCGCAAAAAGTTCAATGTTTTTTTTGGAGCAAGCTTTCAAAGCTAAAAAAATTTGAATTATTACAAGTTATTTCATAGACTGAATCGGTTCGCAAAAAGCTTTAAGTTTTCTCAGCAAGCTGTTCAAGCTATAAAACTTTGAACTTTTTCAGGATAATTCATAGACCGAATCGGTTCGCGAAAAGTTGAAGTTTTTCTAAGCTAAGTTGAAGTTTTTTTCTAAGTTGAAATTTTTCTATTAGAGCTATGCAACTTTGAGATATTTTCGAATCAGTTCGCGAAAAGCTTGTAGTATATTGAAGCAAGCTACTAAAGCTATGAAATTTTGAAAAATTGCAAGTTAATTGTGGACTAAATCGGTTCCAGAAAAGTTGAAGTTTTTCTAAGCAAGCTGTTAAAGCTATGAATTTTTGATTTACTTCAAGTTTTTTCATAGACTGAATCGGTTTGCAAAAAGTTTCAGTTTTTTTAAGCAATTTTTTAAAACTATGAAACTTTGAATTTTTTCAAGTTATATCGTAGACCAAATCGGCTCGCAAAAAGTTCTTTTTTTAGCATGGAGGTTGCTGTTTTAAAAAGATTCGTTCCAGACTGAATGTTTGACAATCCCGGTTCCAGACAGAAATTAAATGAATTTCTGCACTAAAATTAGGCAGGTACTGTCTAGTCTTGAAGTTGAATCGAGTTCATCTTCCTCTGATGGTTGCTCTGAATAGTTCTTAAACATTTCGCTCGATATCTCTTAAACATTGTCTCCTAATAAATATTAGGCATCGTGTTCAGTTAAACATTGCGTCCATAGCGCATTCTGACTTTCATTTAATATATTAGAATTTATGGGTTATTGGAATTTATGATAAAAAGAGCCCAAATACCTTTTGTAATGAACTCTCTGATATTTTGTTGCTGACACTCAGTGATCGCTTCCGGGGGAACTGAACTGACATAGGGATCCATAAGACAAGAATCCAAACCAGAGCAGAAACAGGTGCCATTGCTCAACATGCCCGAGAGCAGGTCAAGTATACTAAAGTTGTGGCTCAGTCCCAAATTGTGACCGACTTCGTGTGCTAATGTTGATGCCGTCATTGAAGCCACGCCAGTGTTGTCCCACACCCAGTTAGCTATAAAACATAAGGTCAATAATTAAATGAATCTCTTCATTTATTCGCCCCCCCCCCACTCTCTGCGGAAATGAAGAAATCTTAACGTGATACCGATCCGGCTCGAGCGGTCCGCGACCTATTTTTCGACTTTGTCGGTCGCGCCAATGATAATTCTGCGACCGAAATTCCATTTCAGTCTGGACAGGATTATAAGTAGCTAACAAATTCTGGAAATCTCGTTTCTCGATTGAGCACATTCGGTTCAAAACGCGATTTTTTTGTTGGTTGAAATTATTATCGGTTGAAAAATGTTCTCTTTTAAAATCAATCGACAATTTCTCCCGTTCGAACCCAATTGAATTTTTTCCTCTGCTAAATACAGTGGATTTGTGTTGATGGGTTGATTTTTCCGGTCAATTTTTTCAGTCAAATATTCCTCAGTCGATTGTTTTATCTGCGTCGATCTCAGTCGAAACGTTTTCTCCAGTCGTTTTTTTTTCACAATTTCCGTTAAATATCCTTTGGTTGCGCCGGTCGCGGTTAGCTTTTCTTCGCTTGCGCCGGTCGCGGACACACTACCTTGGTCTGCAAAGTCTGGAAAAACCGCGCGGTGGTCAGACAAAATCCAATTCTTCTCGCAGCAGTCTGGAAATACCAAAACATTGTCGCTACCGTCTGATCATAAAAGCACAACCTTGACCGGGGAAAGTCGTAGATATGTACCTGTTTTGTTACCTATTTTTAAGATCGTATATTTGTTAAAATATACCAAAGTGGGGGAAGTAATTATAGATATCCAACTCTGTAATAATAGCTTCGATGGATGACAGGAATTTAGACGGAAAGCAAATTAGAAGGCTCTGATAAACCGGAACTTTGGACGTTAAATTTTATGCAAAACTAACATTCTGGACAAAAAGCGAAAGGATACCAAAAACTAATGTTTAGAAACAAAGCTTCAAACAAAGCTTCTAGAGTAGTGCAAATCCCATTCCATATCAAAAATATGATTCTAAATGATTTATAAAAACAATCGTACGACTATTATAAACCTTTTTGAAATGCAAAAATTACAAAATTGCCTCGTGTGAAACGTCCATTTGCATTTTCAAAAGCTCGAACGAAAACAAATTGAAGTCATTAGAGCAAATTCAGACAGAATAACAATACAATCACGTCTAATTTTCGATAACTGTTAGTTTAAGTTCTTTTTTTTTTCTGGTCACGTCCAATTTATTTGTCGTCTAGTTTTTTTCTAAGCTTCTAGAGGAGTGCGGTATGGTATGTACCCTTCCGAACTTATCTCAAAATTTCACGTCTGATCACACAATTCTCAGACACTAGCTGTTTTCCAGCTCTGTGCATATCTGTTTCACAAGTGATTACTTCTGCCGTTTGCATACTATACCTGGGTCAGACTTGATTATACCTGATCAGAAATGACTATACCTGGTCAGACATGACTATACTTCGTCAGACATGACTATACCTGGTCAGACTTGACTATACTTGGTCAGACATGACTATACCTGGTCAGAAAATGACTAACCTGGCCAGACATGACTAAACATGGTCAGACGTACCTCGTGTTTCAAAAATCAATTGGACAGCATCTCAACTTTGATTTAAACATCGGATACATCGGACAATCGGATACCACACTGATTGAAAATAATCAGAAATTGATTTCTCTTCTAAATTAACTGCAAACGCTTAGTGCCCTCTAAGATAATTTCACAACATAAAAGACCCTGAAATTGAAACATAATTTAATATTGGTTTTGTCTTGTGAACTTAATGACTTTACCAGCTGGTTCGAATAGTTTGCTTCAGTCTTTTATCTGTTGCAAAACTAGTTTTTTTAACAGTTATTTAATTATTAGTTAATTTAGCACTATTTTTGCATAGAGGGGAGGAAGCGTCAGCACCTCTACCGTTCCCCTTAAATCTGCCCCTCCCCTTCCGCCTTATAGATACTTAATTCAGAATTATGATACTTGGTTGTTGCAGTAAATCATCCCAATGTTAGGTTCGAACTTCTCAATTTCTAAATAATCATACCACATCAACATCAGATTTTTACTTTGGCAACTATCAGCTTCAACATAAAAAATCAGGCAAAGATTGCTGAGGTTTGAAACAAACAACCAATACTGATATAGAGCTTCATTTTGTTTCAGTTTTTTGATTATTATTCGTCTATAATTGATCAGTCAGTTGATAATAATTTAAGTTTTTGCCTACGGTGTTTTCAAAAAGCATTTTTGATCTATGTATGATTATGTTTTGTCAGGTATAACCAGATCTGGTTCAGGTAATATCATGTAATATCAGGTCTAATCCTGTCTGGTCGAGGTATGATCATGAGGTATTATCAGGTATGATCATCTCTGCTCAAGGTATGATCATGTATTTTCAGGCATGATCAGTTCTGGTCCAGGTATGATCATGTAACATCAGGTATGATCAAGACTGGTCCAGGTATGATCAATTAAAGTCAGGTATGATCATGTCTGCTTCAAGTCTGGCCCAGGTATGATCAAACCTGTCTCAGGTGTACTTGAGATCTGATCATATCTGACTCAAGATCTGATTTTTTCCATAGGTATCATGTCTGATACATGTCTGGTTGAAACGTGTACAAGGAAAAAACAGATGCCACAGAACTGATACAGATATGAGATTTGTATGAAGTTTTGATGTCCAAATTTGAATGTAACTACAAAATTCAGCACGGGTATTTAGACAACCGCGTACTCATACTCGCCAGTAAGCAGACAGAAAATATATTGACCAAAATGAGAAAACAAACTTAAAAATTAAATAATTATAATTTATTAACTTCTTCCTTGTCTCGATTCTGATTGGTTAATAAAGCATTTGTCTGCTTAAGGAATCCGCCGAAGTGTATGAATCCGCAGTTGTCTAACAACTGCTACGTAGCCCTTCTATAAGAGTGACAACTCTATCCTTTGCTCAGGTTATTTGCTGATCGTTTATCTAATCTCGTCCCAACAAATGAGCACTTCAAAAAACCGCAGAATGAATACAGGGAGAGAATGGTTGGAAAAGCGTTTGTATATTGATTGGAAAAGAAAAAATGCAAAAAGCTAGCCTTAATTGGCGTTTTGCCCACCGGTTGAAACTTTTACTCGCAATGTCCGATTGTTGCACAATTTGTATGCAGACTTATTGGATGTTCTAAATATATTTGTAAGAGTCCAATCAGTCTGGAAGCCAAAATGTATACCGATTAAGCAAAAAGTGTGAGCGCCGTTTTTCAAATCAGAATTTTTTGTCTGGGTTGGATTGAACAAAAACCTGGAAAAATCTGAGTAATTTTCGTCAACTATTTTTTTAGTTGATATTTTTATGTTATAACAAAAATGCAGTAAATCTGATACAGTTTTTCAATAAACAGAAAACTGTTTTTTTATCACAAAAATTTTCAAAATACTTAGAAAATCACAACAATGCTTAGTTTGCCGGAAAATTTGTTTCTTCAAAAACTTGAACCTAATCTATATGGACTCGAAACTGATGTTGTAAAGAAAAAATTAAATGCGCTGATAAGACTAGTAGAATTCTCATTGAAAAAAATATCAGTCAAAAGTGGACGTACATAAATAGTCAAGTTTCAAATCAGACAAACAATTGACTCTGCAAAGTCAGGTTGAACTTTACTAATAAACTATGACAACAGCCACCAAAACAAATTTTTTGATTTTTTCTGAACCTCGCCGTTTAACATCTTGTTTTTATTTAATTTGACTATTCATCTATTTTTTTCCAACAGAGATCCTGTCTGAAAAGCTGTCTCAAAGCGTTTAATTTTTTTTCGTTTAAAAACAAACTAGCTTGTGAAGTGAAAAAAAGTTTTGAGAAAAACGAGCTAGTTGCATCAAAAAACTTCATTTTCATTTCCTATTTTTTACGGAAAATTTTTTTCATGACTTTTTTTTTGTATATCTTCTGTAAACAGGATCTCATTGCGATCATATGTTTTAGATATTAATTGGTTTAGTTTTTACACAAAAAAAGTTCGTTGCATGATCAAATTGAAACTAGTACTGACATTCTTAACGTTTTTTTTTGGTTTGGAAGATACTTTATAGACACTCGATGTCAATTTTTGGTTGAATGGTATGATATAAATTCTTGAAGTCATTTTTCATGTACACAACTTTAAAGTAGTTTTGAAGTTCTTTTTTTGTATTAATCAAAAAAGCAATCGATTCTGCAGATACACTAGAATGTAAATCAAGCTGTTAATTTTTATACAAAATATTTTTATAATTTCTCTCTCTCTCTCCCTCTCTCTCTCTCTCTCTCTCTCTCTCTCCTTTTCTCTGAATTGAGCTAAGTCCCAAGATTTCCAGAAAAATGAAACAAGTCGAACAGTGTCCGGACGGAAAGGCCAAAAAAGTCAAACAGAGACTTCAAGCTGGATTTTGATCATTTGGTGAACAGTTTTGGCTATTTTCCAGAAAAGTGAAAAATATTGTATAGTTTATAGCAAGTAATCAATTGAATTTTTATTACTACAAACGTAAATAAGTTTTACTTTTTCTAATAAATAAAAAATTAATTTTTTTTCCAAGACTTTCACCGTAAAAGGTGCATGTAGTGGAAAAGAAGAAGGGTTCATATTATATTCATTCGGCTTTCTACAAAAGAAATTTATGGTAAACAACAATTGATGGTGAAATCAATAGTTAAGAACAAAAAAAACAAGAAACTAATTTTTAAAACTAATTGAAACACATTTATAAAAAACTTTGACTTAAAACGTTTCGCTGGTGTTTTTATCTGATTTTGGGTGGATAAAAACACACCCAATTCATTTTTTATCAAATTTGGTTGGTTCAATTTTTTCTCTGACATAACATGTTAATGAAATCAATTTTTTGATCATTCCATCAAATTTAAAAATTCAAAAATTATGAAAAATTTTTCATTGCAACTGGCTTGCCATTTGATTTTTATGAAATTTGAAAAACAAAAATAATATATAAAAC